AAAACTTTTCTGCAGAAAAACATTTTTATTGGCATAAAACTAAATGAAACGTGTTCAGTGCTGCTAAAACTCAGATGAAAGTCACTCACAGAATTATCTAATCCAATCTGTAACATCTGTAGTTTCTAACTACTGGAATGAACTTTATTAAGGCTATCTAGCATAAAAGAAAAGGAAACCTATTAAGATGCAAAGATGAAACCTTGCTGTTAAAGTGACAATTAAAATAAAGAAAGAAATATAAAACTGCCAAGCTCCCTCCAAAACTTTAATTTAGTTACTGTTGTTACCATGACTTTGTATGAAATCCTGCTTTTGGTAGAAAATGGGCAAACTTTAAGTTATAAGGAAACCCTGGATTTAAAAACAGCACAACTGGGTTGCTTGTTCAACTAGCGTAAAACACAGCAATGCCTCCATCCTGATCTTTCATTTACCTTTGCAACCGCAGACTGACCAATCTTCCAAATGATCAGCTTCTCTCTATGGACCAGCCAGGCCCATCCACTTTCATCCACTTGAACGCTCAGCTGGTCATCAGCTACAGAAAAAAGATTAATACTTTAAGACACTGCAGGAATAACCTGAAAACCAACTAGCCTTCCTTCTCATATGCAAAGAAGAAGTATCTTTTGTATTGAAATTAAATTCTGCATCTCAAATTCTACATATTCAAAGGACCAAATTACTAGATATAGTTTAAAATCCATTTGACAAACCCTCAACATTTGGGAGTGAAAAGCAAGACAATCCTAGAAGCTTTTCATTTCATCAATTTACAGCAGATAATTAATACCTTAAAAACTGCTGAACAACTTACAAAGCTGTTACAAAGTTACACTTTGTTGGTTCCTATTATCTCTATTAGAGAAGCAAAACAAGTAATTTCTTTAATTCAGGGAACAGTTTGTATTACCGGGGCTTTTAGAAGTGAGAATAAAACCACCATTAAAAACAATAAAACCACCACTTCTGTTTCTTTATTTTCTACCTGCTGAAACATCATGAGCTGAGATTAAATTAAACTATGTATTCATTTAATGGCTTAGAGTACACGGACTAAAAAAATAAAATTAGAGCATCCAGTCCAGGAAACAAGACTCCAAACAAGCTGAATTCTAACCAAGACTCAAGCATTTCATTTTACACTGCAAAGACAACTTTTAAATACTATCATCACCATGTTAACTTTTCTCCCACCTGTCAACTTTTGCGAGGGAAATAACAGATAAAATCAATCTTACCATCAGCCTTTTTCAGGGCTTCCATCACCTTAACAGGCAGAGAGGATCCAAAAGCCTTAACATCATAGTTAATAGTATCGCTTGCTGAGGGATGCTGTATAACTCGGGTGGGAGTTGCTCTTAAAAAAACAAAACAAAAGCTGTGATTAGTTTTCTATTCTTTCTCCAGGAGTTTTAACATTTGCTTTAAATGCGTAAGCTTTGAATGTTTTTGTTTTGTTTTACATGCATAGGTTCTTGTTCGTCCTATGCCACAGACATAGCTGAGTAACTCCCTAATAAGAGGTATTTCAAACATATTGAACTTGCATCGTTTAACTTTAAACTATAAAAGAACCAGAAAATTGCTCAGCTACAACAAGTTTCAGTCAGAGTTTGGTACTACGAGAACTGATGATGTCAAACAGCCTACGAAGAAGTATTTAAGAAACTACAGGCCAATAAAGTCTTATTGCTTTTATAGTAGAGTAAATGAGTATTTTACATTAGTAACATGCATACTTTTTTTGTTATTTTCATACAGGGAAGTCATGCCTAACAATTCCATACGATTTTTTGGGAAAAAATCAATCAACACAACTGAGACATTACTAAGCACTTAGATTTCTCCCAGTCTCTCAAAAAGACCCTTTATCAAATATTTCTCAGAAAATCAAGCTTTGAAAAAGGAGGAAGTCTTAAAAGTCTGTATCAAAGAAAGAAAGAAATACAAATAATACAGAGGCTAACGTATACATTGTAGGAAAGACCCTGTCCTATAGGATCTGTGCAAGTTCTTCAGCACAAGCATGAGGAGCCAAGTACCAGAGTGACAGCCGGCTGACGGGGCTGTATGACCTCGGACAGGCAGACAGTAAAAAAAACCAGGCTGAGCTATTAAAAAAGGCTAAAAAGCAGAACAGAAAAGAGCATAACGAATCCACACGGCACGTCAGCTTCTCAGCACGACGGTGCCCTAGCGCACACACCCCAAAAGCCTATCGTGGACTGAAAAATAAATAAATAAGTAAATAAATAAAAGGCTCAGGGATGCTCAGAGCCTAGAGAACATGCCGCAAGAGGTCCCTGGGGACCGCCGGCCGCAGGACCGGCGCCTCACCGCGCGGAGACGGAGCCGCTCCTCCGCGCCACCGGGGAGAAGAGCCCGGGGGAGACGGCGGCGGCCGCCACGGCCAGGCCCTTCCTGCCGCCAGCCCGGGACAGGGGGCTGGGGGCGGCGCTGCCGAGGTTCCTGCGGGCCTGCCCGACCGGGGTCCGCGGGGAAGCGGGAGCCGAGGGGAACATGGCTGAGGGCAGAGCGGCAGCAGCGGCCGCGGGGAGCCCGCCTCAGCACGGCCCGGCGCCGCCGGCTCGCGTCACTGCCGAGCGCGGCCCGGCCCTGCGCGGAGGGCGGGGAGACCCCGCGGCAACCGCTCGCTGAGGCGGGCGCCTCACGGCGGAGCCCTAGGGCGGGCGGATGGGTGCTGAAACGTAAAGAATGCTGCTGGTTTTGTCATGTGTTGTTGAAAGATCCCAGCAAAGCACTGTTTTGGTGCTTTCGGGTGGAATTTGCGTGTTCCTGTAGTCGCCCGTTCGTTAAAATCACCTGCGCTCGCCCAGTCTTCTCATTAAAAAGTACCCCCAAAGAATGAACGCTCCGTGCGAATTTTGGTGAGGAAAACCCACAAAGCAAAAACAAAATGTACGCACAGATGTAAAAAGAAACAAACAAACAAAAAAGAGTAAAATTCAAGCTGCCACCCACAGTTCCCAACATCCGCGAACAGTAACATTCAGATTGTTTTAAAAACCGGTAACTCCCTTCTACGTCTCCTTTCTAAAATATTTAAGGCGATGCAGTCAGTGCAAGCAGCAGCCCTTTGCTGCCTGAAGCCTCGTCCCTCTTCCTCAGTGCGTTACTCGGGTCCCTTTTGATGTACAGCCCTGTGCTGGGGCTCCATCTTCAGGAGAGAGCCTGATTAAGCGAGGACTTGAACTGGGAGAATGGAAATAGACTTTATATCAGAGCCACAACTTCAAAATATATAAGAATTTTATTTTTTTTTTACACTTCTACACTTTTTTTTACACTTTTGATTGATTACTTGAAAAACTGCATGGAAAATATTGCCAAGGTAGACTGGCTGCAAATAGTTGCCTACCTATTTAGAAAGAAACTTAGTTTGAAAGGCTAGCAGCAGCTCAGGCCCTGACATCTGCAAACAACACTCCCATGAACTGGTTACAGAAAGCACACAACCATAAGTAAGGTGTTTGATGTATTTAGCAAGGTAGTTTTGAAAGCACTTGGATACAGTATTTGAGCCGTGAAAGTCATGACTGGGTAGCAAAATGTTACGAAAGGAAATAGTTCTAGCCTCCAAGATGAAGGTGAAAAAGTCTTAGTAGTAACTACATTAGTAGTAATAAGACTTTGAGATTATGCCTATAGTTATCATGTTAAATACAGATAATAATGATAGATGCTGAAAAATCATTATACCACTTGTCTCTGTGTACATGTAAATGTAATTACATTTTTTTATGTCTGGGAATCTTCATTCCTATACAGAGAAGATATGTTTAGGCAAAGGCAGAACACCAATGCATGCACCGTAGAAGTGAGGTGGTGTTTTGTAATGTCCTGCAAGGCTATGAAAACACTTTAAAAACTACCAATTGTAAAATTCATTCAGGAAATGTCAGATGAGCTTGACTTATTATATTGTATTCACCTGTGATCAAAGGCATTTCTGAGTACCATCTGGCCTTTGTAATATACTAGTAGCAACACAGCTGTGTTTTGAGCATGTTAATACCATATTAATGGAACTGAACCTCTTGCTACTAACTCAGCTTAAGTAGCTTAAACAAAACAAGCAGCAGAGAGCAAAGAGTCAAGATTTAGGGCACAAATAGCAACAGCTGGCAACATGAGCTTCAAGGTTGTTTTTTGGTTTGTTTTTCATATAAAGAGTAGACCTATAGCCTCTTTAAGTCCTTTTTCTACAACCCCAAAAAACACTACCACTTTTCACTGAGTATTTTGTCTTCTTTGTACTTGTTAGGATAACCATAAAAAAACAATAGCGCTAAAATCACTAAAATGGATTGCATACATTGGAGTGAAGAGTGCTTACAGCACCTTGACAATTCATATTACAGCTGGGGATTTTTCAAGATGATATAACTGTGTCAGCACATTTCAATGTAGCAATTACAGCCCCATTAAAGAGAGCTTCTCAACCGAGTTTAAAAGTCAAAGTGTCTGGCAAAACAGTCTCCTATCTGTGCATCGGAGCAGTAAGCAGCTGTTGACATCTAGATAAATGAAGTTCTTTTTGAGAAGAGGAAGAATGATAGTTTAAAATTAGAAAAGCCTCGAGCTAGTTTCATCCACTACTTTTATGTCAAGTGTTTACTGATCACTGAACTCCCCCCTCCCCCCCCCAAAAAAAAAGTCTTGCTTCTCAAGATTTGACTTGATGTGGAATTTGAAACTTGGGCAGTTCAGTTCTGCATTACCTGTTTTAGGTGAACCATGACCTAATGTCAAATGCTTACTAGCCAACCAAATATTTCTGTTGTGTAATACTTTATAACAACATATTCTTTCTTTTTTTTTTTTTTTTTTTTTTTAAACAAGACTTCAGAGTAAATAGAATTTTGTACATAGCACAGGTTGGATTTGAAATGTGAAGTTTTGGGTGAGGAATTTATTTTCTGAAAGGTCTTTTTAATCTTTTCAGCAACAGAAGTATAGCATGAAGCAGTAAATGTTTTACACATTACCTTTATGAAACACAGCATTACTAAAACACGAAGGAGGCAATCACAAAAAAATGCAGTCACAAAGTGTAATAGAGATTGTTTTATAGTGCTTTCTGATGCAGTCAGATACTCTCACATTAAGTCTTTTCTATGACATGTGGTCCATTTTTGCCCTATGGAACACGCTGCACAGGGCAGCAGCGTGGGGTGATGGTCCTTCACAAAGAACACCCAACAGGGTTGTTAGAGATGCACCGCTGGTTTCCACCTTAGACAGGAAAACATTAAACTCTTATAACAAAAGCAGAATACAATGCTTTAATTCATTTCTCTCTCCTTTTTACACGTTGTCTCCCTTTCCTCCAACAAAAGGATCAAATTTTCTTATTAAGCTAACAGAGCTCCTACAGTTCAAAGTGCAACCACATCCATCACTGCCTGGCACTGCTAGGGAGGTATACAGCACACCACGTGCACACAGAGGCAGTGCCACATGCATTGTAGGTGGGAAAAATAATAATCTGTACTTGTCTAGCAAAGTTTTCTCACCTTGATAAGATCTTGGTTTGGTCCAAGGAATATTATAAGGTCTGCTATCCGCTGCACCTCTTATAACAAGTATTCACCTTTCTTTGAACAAGACCTTTTCTGTAGCTTTTCTCACTTTATGGTAGATTGCAACACCTGCCCGAACAACTAATGATCAAGAGACATAAAACATTCATTCAGTTCAGCTGCAATTAATTCCCCATAATCTCACAGTTTAAACTCACAAACAAAAAGGCTCATTGCACTTGCATAAGGAGAGAGATTAAAGTTCAAGCTCCTCTAAATACAGTATCAAGGCAATCATTGTTAGTCAACACTGAAATTAAACGTTTGGTCAGTGGTATTTTTGGCATATCTTTATCATATCTATACAATATCTGCTTCTAGTAAGACTGTATCAGAAGGCATAATTTTGTCTGGAATTAATTTTATTTTCATTTTATACTGCAAGGATCTCATTAGTGTTTTCACAAAGTGCCATTATAATGGCACATTAGAGTTCTTAAATTAGAAACGTGAAGCCTACTTTATAATGCTACTATTTTACCAGTTGTCATTGAGAGAGTGACAATAAAACCTAAATTGTACATGCCTTAAAGAGGACAAAAACTTACATATATAACAACTGGTTTTGGACGTCATCTCAGAAAGGGAAATGAAACTAAAGAACTGGGAAAATAGAGAAAGGAAGATGTATGCAAATTTTAGATTTCCCTATCATGAACTAAAAACAGTAAGAAATGCAATGCCTCTGTCCTCATATACAAAGTCAGCTAGTTGTTTTTTTTAATAACTTTCCTCCAACTCAGGTTTCCATACTCTCCAAAAATGAGTTCTCATTTGTAATTCTCTATATTAACTGTAGATGGTGACCATAATCAACTTAGCATTTGCTCTGAGATAGAGCAGTGAGACATGCACTTTTGAATTCCAGCATTTTAAGATTAGCAACAAAAAATGAAACAAAAATTCCTTGAAAAGGGAAGAGACAATGACATGAAAATGATGTTTGACACTTAATTCCCCTTAAAATACTGATTTTACTTGAGAATGCAGCACATAATCATACAGTGCATTACAACAAACGAGTCTATATGGTCTCAATTAACGTAACACACAAAGCAAAAAATCTACACACTGAAATTGTCTGAATGTGATAAGACATTTAAAAAAGTTACAATAATTATTAAAAAGCTCTCAATAAAAAGTTTAAACATATTTCAGTTTCAAAAGGATATTTTGTACATTTTGGAAAAATATAACATTTACTTTACATAACTGAAACATAAGTTATATTCTTTGTAGTTTGTAAGCTTCCATTACTCATACATTCTCTCGTACATTTTCTTTTAATAGATTATTTTCTCTGGATTGTACATCTAATGCAAAAGCATCACTATTCTGAAGAAATGCTTGTTTCTGCATTAGTTTCCTGAAAAGTCCATTTGGATTTGCAAGCAGTTCCTCATGTTTTCCGCACTCAAGGATTTTGCCCTGGCCGAGGACTGCAACAGAATCAGCATTCTGAATCGTAGACAGCCGGTGAGCAATAATTAAGACTGTCCTCCCTTCCATCAGCCGGTCCAGAGCTTCTTGCACTAGATATTCATTTTCAGCATCCAAAGCACTAATCAGAAATAAGAAACAGAAGGGGTGAGGAGAAGAGGATATTTGTTATTTTAAGAACAGGTTAGTTTTGTTTGCATTAGGCATATTTTGCTAAAACTCCAAACACTTGACATTGTTGAAGTTGAACGAATGGAACTGCAAAAACAGTTTGACGAACATGCATAGTGCACACATCCAAGTTACACGTGTTACATATTCTTATATGCAAAAATATGCAAGAAGAAATAACACAAAATTAATTAAGTGGAAAAAAGTAAGTTATGCTGCACTGCAATCATCTCTTTTATGCTATCAACTTCATCATTTAAACTAAAGATACAAAACAATTTTGAAACAGCTGTTTCAAAGCTAAGTTGCATGTTACATAGAGTTAACTGAAATATTGTAGTACAGTGTACCAGTACCTTCCACTTTGCATAAAGAAAGCTTTTATCACAGGTCTCTTAATCTATTTTACCTAAAAAACACTTTTTTGGAGGAGGATGAGGGGGTGCCAGATGCTAGATAATTTGTGCAAGGGTGTGCAGATAAAGGAAATGAATACTTCCCAAACCTCAGTTTTACAAATAGATCATTTCTAAGTTTCTATTTTCTTTCTTACCTTGTTGCTTCATCTAACAGAAGAATTTTAGGATTCTAAAGAAGAAAGTAAAATTGGTTATAATTACACTTAGATATCTGAATATTCATAACAACAGCAACAGTATTCATACAGCTGAAAACTCCAAGTACATATTTCATCCAAAGAAATGTGTGTCACTCAAAGAAAGCATTGCTTTTAAGAAGACTACATGCTTAGAGGACAAAAGAAATAACTCATCTTCAAATTTTGCAAGCTGAAGTAACAGAACATCATTAACTGATAACTATTTAAAAGATACAAACTAGTAGTACTGCTTGTAGTCAGTTGCTACAAACTAGTAGACTGCTTGTAGTCAGTCTACTACATGTAACTGTCTAGACTCAAAAAATATCAAAAATCTACCAACAAGCAGTACTTCACCATAGATTAAATACATAGTATTTAAGAACTCTTCCCAACTAAAAAGCATGGAAACATCTGCATACAAATGCCTAAGAATTCTTTTCCAAACTACAGTACACAATCCAAACTTCCTTCTCCTTCAGTTAAAATCTAAAGATTTTACTATCAATTTATTTGAGACTACATTGCACTCCCAAATGCATATATCTCAACAACTCATTTTTTACCACATAAAACAAAGTTATATTATGTAAGTTTACTCGCATGATATTCTTAAAGCCTTCCTTCATCCTTGACATGGTCTTATGAAAGAAAGCCATTATACGGTGATTTACTATCATTAGAAAAACAGGACTGAAAGACAGGAAGAAGCGCTTACGTAAGTAAATTGTCTGCATTTAAACCAATCAGCCCTTTCAAACTCCCTGATACAAAAGATGTATATATATATATTTTAAAAAAAAAAATAATATTTTTTTTTTAAAGATTGTTCCAACCCTCCCAGTGAAAGGCTTCCTCCTCTTTAATCCTCTCCCCTTCCCCACAAAGCAGTTAAGTAGCTGTGCAGTCTTACCTTGAGCAGAGCTCGAGCAATAGCAATTCGCTGCTTCTGTCCACCTGGGGGAAAAAGTCAGTAAATTCATAGATGTAAATTCATCTCAGTAAAGTCAGTAAATTCATACTTTTAGCTGAAGGCCAGAACACAATTAGGCATGTGCAATTTAGGAGGGAAATAGAAATATAGGAAGTATTTGTTAATATTTATGGTGGGCTATGAGTTGCAGAAAAGACCGATTAACAAAAAATAATAGAATTTTGGCTTCACTCTGTAGCAGCAAGATTTTTTTTTTTGAATAAAATGAAAATGTACCTGAAAGTAGAATGCCTTTTTCTCCAACTACAGTGTCAAACCCTTTTGGAAAATCTCTGATGAAACTAGCAGCATTAGCTATTTCAGCAACTTTCTGAATCTCCTCTGCAGTCACTGTAGATGGATCCTCTGCACCATATGCAATATTCTCAGCAATAGAACAGGAGAACAGAATTGGTTCCTGAAAAATTTAAAAATGTGGCATATTTGTAATTACATGCACGTATTGTCTGTATTTCAAATAACATAAATCCCACTTAGAAGACCCAGCATTGTATGTATGCTAAAGTTAATCGATTTAAAAACAAAACAAAGAACAAAACAAACAAACAAAAAAAAACACACAAACTAAACTCTCCTAACATCAAAATGGGTGGTTGAAAAAAAATAATTTTTTTTTAACTGACAAAACATGACATAGCCCTCAATTCATAATATTTGAGAAAGAATTCAGCAAGATCTATTCATCCAAACATCAGAAAATCTCCCTTCATGTTTTATTACATATCGTCGTTTACAACAATACTGAATCTTCTTTTAGCTATCTCTACATAAATTTCATGGCATTTTGTGCATTTAATTAAAAACTTAGAGCAGAGGATTGTCAGACAGGACAAGTGATGGGGAAATAGGAAAATGTCATGGAAGAAGGTAAGTCTGCTCTGGTATAACATATAATAAACATGCTATAATCTGCAATCTACTGGTAACTCCAGCCTGGATAAAATGAAATACATACATTCAAAAAGAAAAATGTTAATATGTCCACGGGAACATCATTTTTGCACAAAAACTTTTGGTGGCATTACTACATAAAGTAGATGTTTTGAAAGGCAATGTATACCCAGTTACAGAATTGCATTTGCCAGGAAATTACACGGAGCACAGGTCATTTTTCATATGGTTGTGTAAAATATGATTGTGTAACTGCCATTAATACAAACCATGACTGAATGTCAAGTTTTGTGTTGCTTTCTTCAACAAATCATAGCAAACATCAAGGTACTCCAACCCATATAATTTGCAACAGTGTACTTCCCAGTCTCCACATGCACATTTTTCTTTTCAGCAGATAGTTTGTATCTCTAGAGTTAGACTACAGAAAAATAGGACTAGCTCTGAATACTTATTTTTAGAATAAAACGTGCATAGCAACAGTTATGGTGAGAAGGAGGAGCTTTACTGTTTTCTCTGAGATGCAAGATTGCATACTACTAAAAACAAGAAAAGTGAGGCACCACAAGTTGCTTAGACAGAATTATTTCATTCACTTAGAATTTGTTTCTTCCTTACCTGACTTACTGTTCCAATCTTTGTCCTGAACCACAGTGGATTTAACTGACGAATATCAAAGCCATCAACAGTGATAGTACCTTAAAGTAAGAAACAGTAAAGTCAAGTGTGTTCTGACATGTACTGTAAAAGAGGCGGAAAGAACAGTTGAGAACAAAGACCCCTGGGGAATCACAACCTGGCATCTTGTCAGGGCAGATCAGAAAGGCAAAGCTATGCAGGCACCACCACAAGGTAATCACACACCCCAGAGGGAAGCACGCTACATCAGTGAGAGAGTCACAACAGGACCTCAGTGCAGGAGCCCTCCTTGTTTATAGGGTGTATCTAAGACACAAAGCATCATTTGTCAAGTGAGAGCAACACTCAGAACATACCTGAGATAGGATCGTACAGCCTCAGGAGAAGGGATACAATAGTCGATTTCCCTGTACCACTTGGGCCAACCAGAGCCATGACAGAGCCAGCCGGAATGGAAAGGCTGAAATCTTTGAAAATGGATGCTTCTGGACGTGTCGGATATGCAAACTCTACATTCTTGAACTCCAAAGCGCCTCTGAATGTGGCTTTGCCTAGTGTGATTCCCTCTATATGACAGAATTAAATAGAAACATTTGAACAGAAGTAAAAACCAGCTCAGACCTCCTAGACCTGCTTTACAGATGCTCAGTAGAAAAATCTGTCTCCTCATTAAACCTAGGGATAGCTGCAAGCCACAGCAGCTGCCCACAGGGATTATATTTCAGCCGTGATTGAATCAGCGTGGGGCACTGCTCACACCCGACTGCAATTTCAGGTTGCTCACCAGCAGTGAAGCCTTAGGCTGCTCCAGCAACAGGAATAATGTGCATCTTGCTAATATGTAAAGACTAATGGTGCTCACTTCTAGTACAATCTGAAATTTTAAACATATTATAAGCAATTTACATTTGTCAATGACAAGTAATGAAATAAAATGACACACTGTTGAAGGCCAAAGTCCTGTTGCCATAGAAGAGATGCAAAAAGATAAACATTGCAAATCCCTTACTGCCCTCTCCCCGAGCCACAGTCACCTGAAATGCCCTCCCTTCGGATAAGAGCGTTCACTCTGCACTACCCGCTAATTGCTTAGCATTTAAGCAAAAGCTGTCACTAGAACAAAACTGTTGCTAGGTTTGTGCATAAATGGCTATTTTTACAACTCATATTTTTATAAATTGGAAAATATAAGAAATTATAGATGAGAGAGGATTCGAAGTCCAGAATTGTAATTCTTATGCAACAGTTCGCAGAAAGCAAGGTTTCAGTTTGTGAAACACCATAACAAACAAGCATGAATGAATGATTGCCAAAGTTAAATAAAAGGAACTTCTTTCTGGAACACAACATTTGACTTGACAATTATCTTAAAACAGTATCACAGTACCGGAAATGCATAAAAGTAGATAAAGAAATACAATTTCTTCAAGCCCAGGTATATCCCAACAAGACATATGCATACAAAGTCAGCTAATTTGACAGTGGTGCAGCATTATCAACAGACAGCTTCACTCATGAAGTTCCTGCCAGTTTTGGGAGAACTGGCAGCACCAGAGCAATACCCAAGAAGTGTTCAGCTGAAGCCACATCACCCCTGAGCTTTCATTCTTTTCAGATGTAACCCCCAAGTAGCCACAGCAGATGGTAGCACATGCCTGTTCGGTTAAACAGGTAACTGGGAGAGGGAGATGGAGAGGGAACACAGACACCAATCACTAACAGTCACAATTTTACTAGGGCAAGCCATTTCGACTACTTTTCTTTCTCCCAGCTGCTTCCTCTTCCCCAGCCTTTAGACTTTCAGTTTAATGGTAGCAGCATAGAAATGGCAAAGGCAAGCACATGCAATTTTAGACTCCTTCCTAGACTTTAATCTATGGACATGCACATTGTAACTTGTTTGCTACCTGAAGCAAAACAACCCATAAACCCTTCACTGGGAAAAGAAATGTATTTGCTAAATCCCCTGCTAGCAGCCAAATTCTTACTATGTCAAAGCAACAAGTAATCACTTATCTTTATTCTCAGTTCCAGTTATTGCATAGTTTATTACATGGCCTGCAACACAGGAAGTCTGGTACCACAAGTCCTTCCTCTAAATAGTACTTATAAAAATATCTAAAAGCTATATGCAGGATTGTGCTTGATTTATGTTTGGATTATAGAGACGGGGGAAAGAAAGACATTATCATCAGTTCTTGAAATATTTGTTGTCACCAGAAAAAAAAAGATTGAATTCAGTGAAAACAAAACCTAAGCAGCCAAGAGAGTAGATATATCAACTATAATTGTTCCTTGAGACAAAGGTTTATATCTTTTCTTAGGTATTTAGTTTATAGTAAAAAGAAACTTAAAAAGAAATTTTCTGTAAGCCTATGTAACGTGGATACCTGTAACTTTGTCCAATTTATTTTCACTCTATACAATAAATATCATTTTCTGGATGAAAACAATTGGTATAATTAAACAATTCAATACCTTCGGGGGAAAGCCAACTTCTTCCCCATTACTACTGCTTACTCTGCCCTGATGCCACCATAAAGATGAAGACTACCGAAATAATCCATATTTAAAAAAAATCATGTCCAAATGATGATGAAATCAACAGTTGCACGTCTGTATAGGGCACAGCACACTGCAGTGCAACACTGCATAATACTCTGACATGGCAGAAGTTTAAGGTAACTTCCTTGGTAAAGACAAGAATGTCTAGTTTCATTAGCCAGTTGGTGATTACCTTGCTAAAGTATATATTTTATATAGTATATATTGTTTAGACGTCATGCTAAACAATATATAGGGGTGGCTAGCTGGGGGGAGGGGGCCGGACTGCTCGGGGTTAGGCTGGGCATCGGTCAGCGGGTGGTGAGCAATTGCATTGTGCATCACTTGTTTGTACATACTATTACTTTCGTATTATCACCATTGTATCATTATTATTATTATTGTTATTATTATTTTTGTTATTATTATTTTCCTGTCTTATTAAACTGTCTTTATCTCAACTCACGGGCTTCACTCTCCATTTCTCTCCCCCGTCCCAGAGAGGGAGGGGGGAGGGTGAGCGAACGGCTGCGTGGTGTTTAGCTGCCGGCCGGGTTAAACCACGACAGTGGACCAATGGGTTTTATTCTAAGTCTTTACCTCCCTCCATCCACTGGAGACAATAGTACTTCTAATTCCATAAGTAAGGCCTATATGCACTGAAAAGCATACTACAGACACAGGCTTGCAGCTGCAAAGAGAAATAAGACAAAGGCCAGACTGTGCCTTGGTGTCAGTCAAATTAAGAACCCAGTAATTCCAGCACAGGGAGACAGAAACTGAAAAAAAAAAATATATTGAAGCTTAGTATTTCAAAAATACCCCTCTGTATCAACCAACTCAAAGATAAAACTCAATTCCCTAAACCACGCATGGCTCGCTCAAAAGATCTGTTAGGTCTGTTGAATGTTCTTTTCTTCTCTTCCTCTTATGCCAGCCCCTACAAAGTTTCCAAATTAAAATTTCCAGATAAAGATTAGAGAGTAACTACAGTGCTGACGGCTCACCTAGACTCTACTATATTGCGTTTGTTATTAGCATGCAGAGCTGGACAAAACTTGTGTACGATTTCTGCTTAATGGGATGCAGCTGATGAAAGACAACAGCAATATCACACAGAAATTATCTTCTACAAGCAGCTTAGTGAACTACTTTGAAACAGGCAAATGCTGTTTATACACTGGAGGGCATTGCGTGGCTTCTGAAAAATAGAGCCGTCAATTAAGTGTTGCTGATAAAAAAAATAAATTACAAGGGCAAAAAGGCAGGTTTATAGATGGTGTTCGCGTGTCTTCTTTTGGGAATTTGACAACTACATCAGCAAGCTATTCCTCTATAAAATCTAACACCTCTCAAAGGTGAGCACCTTTTTCTGTAAACCTACTGATAAAAACAGATGTGATTTCAGACATGCAAACCTATCTTTAGGCGTACAGCAGCCCACAAAAAGTCAGATGTGAATGACTGATTTGTCACAAAAATTGTTTTTCTTCACACTTCCAGCAATGTCAAGGACATCAAGGACATTACCTCCCCTTCAAAACTTTTTTGTTCAGGGCTTACAACACTGCAATTATATCAAAAAACACTATGCCCATGTAATCAGGTCCAACACCATGCACGCCAGGCAAGGGGACTGCCTGGTATGGAAAGCTGCTCATGCAAAGAGACCCATAACTCCCCTACCCATGGGTGAATTAGGCAAACCATGTGCCAGAATGGCTCCTTCCTCCTCTAAAGAAGAGGGAAAGGTGGGTGGTGGTACTGGGAGGAGAGGGCCGTAAATTATTCCAGAAGTCACAATTGCTGTACCTGTACATCCTACACTCTCCCAAGAAGGACTTTCCATCTCTGCTCCCTTCCTTCTTTTCATTCCCTACTCATACCTTAGCCCCCCAACTCCTACAGCAGAAAAGCTAAAAGTTCAGTTTGGCATGCTGCTCAAGGGCCTCAAACGCTCTGTGCCTGCAAGTTGTGCTTTTCAAATTGACACGTATTACCAAGGAACCATTTTCACTGGATTGATATGAATGGTTTGCATAAACTTGATATACTCTTAATGAAAAATACCTGGTTTTGAAAGCTTCTTTTTTCAGACTGCTAATTTCTTAGCCATTAGAGATGCGCATGGTAAGCCTTTTAGTGAAAATAGGAAATACAGCCATCTCAAACAGAGCTCCTCCCTTCTTTTTCTTCCTTCCACTCTTAACTCTAAAGCTGATCCAAGAGAAAGCGGTGCTGACATCAAAGCAAGGAGCTAGAAATGAGCATGTCCTCAGTCACAGAACTCTCAAAGTAATATATTTAAAAGCATATCCTGAATCAGTTAAAAAGGAAGAAAACAAAACAAAAGAAATTTTGAGCTCAATTAAAGGAAATTTTCATCATCTGTTTCATAGTTAGGAAAAGGCAGAAATGTTACCATTTATCTTGTTTCTTTCTGAAAAATTTAAGTTAATACTACCTTTAAATATTACACACCTCTTTCTGAAGTACAGAGGAAAGTCAACCTATCAACAATAACGAAACAAGGACCCACCATTAAATGGAAGTTGGGGCTTCCTCTCAATAAGTTCCCATAGACGTCCACCAGCACCTAATCCTTTCATTAGTTCAGAATAAAAGGAACTTAGACCTAAACAAAATCAGAAGAGAATTATGAATGGAAGACATTAAGAGACATTAACTTTGTGTTACATCAACATTAAAGCATCGGAAACACATAGGGGATCTCTTACTCCAATACATTATCAGACTTGTTGATTTGAATCCTACCTAGTCTCACTTGAGAGCTACCAACAACCCTTATTTGACATTTTTTATATCTTAAAAAAAAAAATTAAAGGAAACAAATTGAAGTTAAAACATCAAAGCTTGTGTCTATTCAAAAGCAAAGCACGCTTTGCAGAGCACTATTTGAAAGGTGGCCACACAAGGCACTAGGCTTGGCAAGAAGCTGTCTGCTTGGAAGAAAAACCCAAACCTTCTGCAGTCTATAGCACAGCATGGAGGAGAAGGCATGAGTCTCACAAAGCCCCTTGAAACTGAGACACACAGGCTTGCAAATTCACAACCACTCATAAGGGAAAAAAAAAAAAAAAAAAAAAAGATTGTATAATATGGACAGCAAATACTAATTAGAAAATGTTTTCAATTTTCACCACCTGTCTTCAGCGTTTGGTAGAAAACACAGTAAACTGTTGTAAACAGAAAACACAGCAAACAAAAAAGGGGGCAATGTTCCAGATTATACAATGAACTTCACAGCTCGCTGCATGAACTCCTGTATGTACTTATGATGACATACACCAAGCAGACTTGGCGCTCAGCAGATTTCTGTTTGTAGGTGTCAAGGAGGGCAGGCACCTTGTGGCACGACAGCTTTACTTCAGAGTCCCCATGATGTACGTAACGGAGGGACTGGACTGCACAGAGCTCACAGCTGACAATGACACAGCTGAGAATCTCTGGGTAAGTAGTAAGGGACAAGTAAATGAAGTGGATGTTGTGGGAGCCTATAGGTTACCCAGCCAGGATGATAACACTGATGATTTATTCTTCAAGGACCTGCCACCAAAACTTCAACCTTGAATATGGGGAGAGCACTTCAGGTTGCTCAGGGAACTAGTTAGTAGGATTCCCTGGGAAACTGATCTGAAGGCATTGGGGTCTATCAGTGCTGGTCAATTAATAAGTACCACCTCTTCAGTGCATAGGAATAGGCAGTTCCAAAATGCTGGAAGCCAAGAAGCTGGGGCAGAAGGTTGATTTGGCTGAGCAGAGATATTCTTCTAGAGCTCAGGCAGAAAAAGAAAGCGTACAGCCACTGGAATTGAGGTAGGAGGACTACAGCATTGCTGTTTGCCATTGTAGGGAGAAAATTCAAGCAGCCAAAGCTCAATTTTGGTTGAAACTAGCAAGTACTTGCAGGGGATAATATAAAGGACTTTTTAAAGCACGTTAACAGGCAGAGCCCTGAGTTGGACTTAACAGTCCTTGTGGGTTCCTTCCAACTCAGGATATTCTATGACTCTGAGAATGAGCTCTGTGCAGAACTATATTCCACAAGCACAGAGCGTCCATGGTTGGAAAGGACCTCTGAAGGTCATCTAGTCTAACCCCCCAGCCAAGCAGGATCACCTACAGCACACTGCGCAGAAGGGTGTCCAGGCGGGTTTTGAATATCTCCCGAGGAGACTCCAAAGCCTCTCTGGGCAACCTGCTCCAGTGCTCTGTCACCCTCACAGTACAGCAATGCTCCCTCATATTCAGACAGAACCTCCTATGCTTCAGTTTGTGCCTGTTGCCTCTCATCCTGTCACTGGGCACAACTGGAAAGAGACCAGCTCTATCTTATTGACCCCTTCCCTTTAGATATTTATGCACATTGATGAGGTCTCCCCCCGGTCTTCCCTTTTGCAGGCTAAACAGGCCCAGTTCTCTCAGCCTGTCCTTGTACAACAGGTACTCCAGTACTCTAATAATCTTTGTAGCCCTCCTCTGGACTCGCTCCAGTAGTTCTATGCCCCTCTTGTACTGGAGACCCCAGAACTGGACACAAAATAATCTTAAGTAGAATTTTAAAATATGTTTTTATTGCAGATATTAGCCAAACATATTTTTAGTGTGTCTAACACTATTTTTATATCTTTAATATTAATTTTTCCCACGTTTTCAAAGTGCCAGGTATCTGTTTGTTGACCAAACTTGAATGATTCAAACAGAAGATAGGGGTTTTGGTGGTTGGAACGGGTGCCACAGCGACTTTGATATCCACGGAAGCAGGTTTTGTGAATTTCGCCTTCAGGCACATCTTTGTGCTTCCCACGATATCAGGCTTTGTCTTAGAAAATAGGAGTACAGATGAGCTGCGCTGCCCTGCCAATCTATCAGAAGCAACACTCATTCTGAAGAAGAGCCCTTCCAATCAGTTATCAGGCTTCAAAGTACCTTATCTCCATTTTTGCCTGCATGCAGTACTGCAGACTGCTCTCTCAAAGAGACGAACAGTTTGTTTCTGGGCCAGTAGATTACAAAGTCTGAGCTTCAGAAAGGAGTCAGTAAGGTAAAACAAAAGGTTAGCACCAGAATGTAGTGTTCTGCTGGCATTTTGTTTACTTTTTCCAGCTCAAGACGCTCTTTACACTGAATTACAGGTAAATTCTACATGCCTTTCTAACTAGACTGTGTTTAACACAGGAAAACATTTTAAAACAAACAAGCAAATACTATTTCTTTACAAAACATGCCAAATATCTTAGTTTAGTTCCAAAGAAAACAAGAGCAATATTTATCTATTGCATATCTACATTGAAAAAAAATAACCTCTGTATTATTTTGGGAACATACAAAGCTTATATTAAGTTATAAATTATTATTTTCATCAACTCTTCATAAAAAAAAAAGAAGTATGATTTCTTGGGAAGATCATTTTGAGAAGACGCTTTAAGTAAGCCAGATCTTTTAAAAGCTTCTTCCCTCCCGCCCCCATACTGACTGTAATGCTTTGATGTGAACAAAATCTAATTTCTTATTCCATACCTCCAATACTTATTCCAACCCAGAAGGCATACATAAGGAAAGAAGAGAGTTCACCAACTGTCATGTAGGCATTGCCCATCAGTAATCCTCCTTTGTACAAGACTGAGAGGACAATTAAGTTTCCAGAAAGACCAGTCTAAGTAAAAACAAAACAAAACAAAAAAAAAAGTGAGATCTGTCACATACATCCTAAACTTCATCCTCTAAAATGTTGTTTCAGAACGTTCCTTCTAATAAAACAGTTCCCATACTAAGTGTACATATAGTTTTGGTGTACTGAGTTAAATTCAAACAAAACCAACTCTAACCCCAAGCGAGCTGACAGCCCAACATAACAGCCCAGCAGCACTACACTGTGCTATCCAACAAGTGTTCAAAGAACAACCCCACTGCCCCCTTTAAAAAAAAATAAAAAAAAATCTCATTCCTCGTGATGGAAAGGAATGCCAAACATTGGCATAATTCAAGGAGAAGAATTGATAGTCTGCAGTTAAGCTGTAGTTTTAACTGTTAAACAAATTCACTGCAAGCGGTATAGAAAAATGCAATCCCATCCCCCCTCCTCTATCCATGCACTCCTCACCTTCCTTGGCACGGATGCTTCATCGGGAAGCCAAATCTTTAAAACACCAAAGGTGGGGGAAAGGTTTCCACTGGTTTAGTTCCCTGAATCAAAATTATGGGCTTAGATAAATAGCACCAAGGAAGGTGTGGGGCAGCAACTGAGGCTTAAACTTGCTTTATCATACCACTTCATCTTGGGGTGCAGTTTCACAGCAATTTGGACTGATTTAAGTTCAGTATTCCCACAGTTCTATGGAGGTTCAATTTACACTCAATTCATTTATTTGCAGATTTGTAAGTATCCTCATGAATTTTAAAACAATTGATGCTTGGAACAGTGTGGTTGGTTTCTTTCATCAGGGCATACTTACTGCTCCAAAGAAGCCTGCCCGAGCTAGTGCCTCTTTTTTAGCCAACTGCAGCACATAATCAACTTTATTGGTGTATTTCGCCATTTCAGCCATTTCTTGCCCAAAGGCTCGAACTGTTCGTATGTTTCCAATACGCTCTTCAGCTAACTAGATAAAAGCAAAAACCAAAAATACACACAGACACACAATTTTGAAAGTTCGTATTATAGAACATTTGAAAGTTAAGCCAGCAGCTCCAAATACTTTCCTTCGGATAACACTGGAAATTTTCTCATGCCCTCCTTGCAGTTATTTCTTGAAACAGTTCCACTCATTTAAACAAAGCAGCACTGGGAATTAATCTAAACTACTAATGCCCCATTCCAGCTCAGTATTTTAACTTCTAAACAGCAAAGTAATAATTCTAAAATAACCTCAACTGTAACCAGTTAGACTAAGTTGTTAATAGACACTGTGATGGTCTGACAAAAAACAAGGCCCCTTTTGGAATTAAAAATAGGAGATTAAAATATAATTACTCTTCCACACCCCATTCAGCCTGAAGATTTGAATAGAACGCTAACATTGCCTGTTCATGTGAGCTCCCACACCTGGTTTTCAGAGACATCAGCTTCATTTTGATACAGGACAAGGCAGATGAATAGAAGAGAGAACTGTTGTACTGCAGAGTCAATGTACACAAGTCCTATGCAGGACATTCCAAGTTTACAACAGCTGACAACTATGGCTATTTTACCTAGGAGTTTGATGGCTTCAAGCTCATAACCATAGTCCAAGAAAAGTCTTTGTCAAACCCGGGTACTAAATTACACAGGGCTTCACAGATTGATTATTTTGACACTGTCACACAGCTCTAACCTAATCTCCTTATCCTCTTCACAATGCACATTTCTTAATTCTCAAGGCACATTAGGATGTATGGACAGTGGGTTTTTGTTTGTTTGTTTCCCCACCCCCCAAAGCACTGTTGTTTTTGAGATCAATGGGTAAGTGTTACAGTTTAGCTTTCATACTGTTCAGGTGCAAAACTACAGGCACGGCAGGCCTTAGGGCAATGAACAGTGCAATTATCTTCAGAATATCTGTAGCTGCAGAGATGCTAACTTCAAAGTTGCTCTAGTGTATTTAAGTTAGCTAGAAAGTATCTGTTACAAGATTACCTGTGTTGCTTCTGCAAGAGAATCTTGGGTCATTTTAGTAAGTTTTCTCAAGTATCTTCCATAAATCACAGCCACGACAGCCAGGGGTGGCACAATGCTCAGAACAAATGCAGCAAGGCTAGGAGACACAAAAAACTAGAAGAAAAAGGTATGTATCAGGGGTTTATGTTCAAAGTAAAAATAAGCCACTGGAGTGCTGAATTGCAACTTCCTTCACTAGAGTTTTCTGAAATTATAAAATTGTAATTTAGTGTTGCCATGCTTTCATTTATCATGTTTTATTTCTTCCAGGCGAAATATCTATTCCTCCATACCACTTGGGGAATGTATCCCATGGCTAGAACAAAGGATTAAAAGTCAAGTGGTCTGGATTTCATTTCCAGCTTTCTCAGTGGTTCGCTGTGTGGGCTCAGCCAAGTGTCTCAACCTGCCAATAAACAAACCTACCAGGAAATCTCCTGGGAATGCTGAAAGACACAAGCTATTACATAGTTTCTAAGGTGCTGTCACAACTTTTAAATAAATGGTGTAATAAAGTTTGAATAGAGAAACATCATAGGGTACTTTGGGGTAACTGAGGAACAGGTGGAGTCACCAGCACTCCTTGGCACTCATGGGCATAACCTGGAATAATGGATTTAATGTTGCAATACCTTATCACTCGTAACAGCAATCATCATTAAAGCTCCTAAGTAGATTCTTTTCATGATTTAACATTATATCTAATATGTTTTGACTTCATTTTGCTTTCTGTAATCAAAACAGACAAATCTCAAAAAAAAAATCAAAATTGATTTGACAGGCTTTATAATTATTCTACAATAATCCTTCCTTCTAGGTAATCTTTTACAGTCTAATTTTAAGACTGTCTCATGGTAGCATTTTTGAGCAAGATGCCTTATATAAGGTTATTCCAGTTAATCTATGGTACGATAAACCTTAGACTTTATTGGCTTAGATAAAGACAGAAAACCAGAATTGTTATCAGCAACAAAGTATTAAAGCTTTAAAGCTTCATAATGGAAACTGTTACCCATTTCTAATAACATCACCCTTGGAAGTTTTTATTTATTTGTTTTGAGATTTTTTGCTCTCTGTTTTTATCCCTAGGTAGATGGCAGAAGCTACCATACTTTCATTTAAGGTAATTGCCACCAACTTATCTTCTCTCAGATAAGCACAACAAAACTCATACCACAGAAACCACCACGGGAAGTCAGATTTTTATGTAAACCAACTGACCGCTGAGGAATATTAACTGATGCCCTGCACAAAAGTTTTTGCTAGCATGCTTCCTACCTAAATGTAGCAGTAAGGGACGTGGTTTAGTGATGGGAGGCTGATGGTTGGTCTTCTTGAAGGTCTTTTCCAATTGAGATGATTCTAGGATCGTATTATATGATTCTATGTTCTTTATTGACAGATTAAAGCAGAAGGATTATCACTGATAAAAATCTTCCGCAGTAATTTGAAGTTCAGTGCTGTTCTTGCTCACCTAGGCTTTACCCAGAATCAACAAACTTCAACGACTTTCACATCAAGCCCCTCACACCTTATTCTACCTACAGTCGTGGGAACATTATCACTTATTTTAATATCTTCTGTAAGAACAGAGTTCAATTATTTGTCTATAATTTCACTTGATAAATTAGGGAAGCAAGAGTAATTAATTTCAAACCTTCGTTCTCCATATTTGGCTCATGAATGGCACATGATCTCTTGCAATGCAGTGCACAAACGTTAATAACCAGTGAAATACACTTGGATCCAAGAACACACGACAGTTGCTGGACTGAATGGCATTCACACGTTACCAAACAGAAGCAAAACAAAGATGAAACTGTAAGAAGCAAAAAGTAAGGAGGAGACCACCCTACCATCATTCCAACCCCCACAGATGCCTGAGCTCCTGCTCTGAGCCCATCGGAAAGGTTTTCGGTCAGCGAACGGCCCAGGAGCGCTGTATCTGAAGATAAGCGGTTTATCAGCTCTCCCGTTCTGGTCTTGTCAAAGAAAGCAGTTTCTTGCTTCAGAATAGAGGAGAACAAGGTTGTTCGCAAACGTTTCACAATTCTTTGTCCTGTCAGAAACAGAAGGCAGTCAAGCACGGCATACAAGACTTTATACACACCAGCCATATAGAAATCACTGAACTCTACAACACCGAGCCAGTCACGTTACAGAGTTTTAACACACCACTGGAGGGGGAGCTTTGAGGTATCACATAACAGTAAACAAAAATGAACAATTATTTCAGCGTGCTTATCTTTTCACTATTCATTTACCTTTGATCTGGTAAGAAAAGCTACTGATTCCATGACAATTTCTTAGCTGGTGCCAAGAATTTATTTCAGATCGCTAGATATGCTGACTCTGTGAAAACAAGATAACTCACAGGTCCACTTCTTTGTTTTTACCTGCAGTCTGCATGAGGTAGACACGAGTAGCGTTAGCAGCAGCACCGCATAAAAAGATTCCGCTCAGCAAGGCACACAGGCTGGAGAGGCTCTCCGTGAAGTCTTCGCTGGGATTTGTGTAAATAACGTCAATAACTTTCCCCAGAAAGAAAGGGGCTGACATGGTAATGACACTGGAAACTGTCAGAAAGCCAACAGCAGCTGCAAACCAACATGGAAAGGGCAAGGAAAAAAGAGTGAATTTGCAAGATCGTTAATAATACATACAAAATACTTTTTCACTCAAAATTTCTATTAAGCCCGTAAGTGCCAGCACTAAATACTAAATAACCAACATCCTTTTTTTTTTTTTTTTTTTTAGCACCCATTCTGAATGGGATATTTTAAGTCACTGTATAAGCTAACTTAGGCAAGGCACATATTAAAATCCTGAAAACTTCTCTATATAATGACAGCCCTGGAATTGTTCCTTTTCTCTGACATTTCCCCTTACACTCGACAAAGCTAACTTTCTACATCTCATCCTTAGAGAGCCCAACAATTAGTAAGTTTTCTGTATCTCACACCCAATCCTTCACTCCGGTTTGGTTTATATTTCATTACTCGTATTTATTACCATATCATCATATTATGGCTTCCAATAGTCTGTGATAGCAATGGACTGAAGCAAAGATCCACCTGAGAACCATCTACGCCATACAGTTTTATTTGCAATTACATATGTTTTACTCTTGATAGGCAAAAATTAAAAATATATTTGTTTTGTTTTACTCTTCACTATTGCTGGTCTAAAAGAAAAACGACATTATTACAAACAGAAATCTGTTTGAATTCCTGTTGCAAGATCACCTGTGTAGCTGTTCAAAGTTGTGTCACAGTGTATGGAAACTGCACTGGGCCAAGACTTCGCCTTATGAACTTTATTCTGCAAAGGGCTTTCCTGAGCCAAAAACACAGTTTGATTCTGAGAAGGCAAGCCAAGCCTGAAAGGCTGAGAGCTAGAAAAAACTCCTCTTGATTGGAAACTGAACAAACCTGATATGAAAACCACTGAACCACAACAAACAACGCCATTTATACAGCATAATTTTCAAACAGCCAGCCCTACACTTAAAGCAACCATTCACGGGACTACGATAAAGCTACTAGCAGATAACGCCTGTAAGGGCAAAAAGGATCTCTATTGCAAATCCTGGAGCTGTCCCAGTTTTCCTTCCATTTTAATGAGCTTCTGTTATTGCTTTTATTATGACAAGAGCAGCGAGCCCCCAGCAGTGCACTGCTGTGAGCAGTATGCTTCACATCTGTCACGGAGGGTGTGATGCCCCTTACCACCTCCACACATGCAGGGAAAGCTTTGCTCCAGTTTTTACTTTAAGTGTAAATACAGCTGCGAATTTATGATGAAGAATTCAAGGTATAAAGAGCTGCATACCTGCCACCACCTGAAGCAAGCGCTTTAACTTGGAGCTACAGAAACTGTACAAAACCAGAGCAGAAGGCGAAAGACTGCTGCTGCAAACCTGTGTAAGCCATGACACAGACAAGTCTCATAAACATATTATTTAGTAGCTAAAGCTTCACACAAACAAGTGACCTTATTAGCAGGCTGGCTGCAGGGGTGTATTCAGGTTGTGAAGCAGCAGGGAAAAATCCAACAAGGCTGGGTCATCTCCTGGCAGGAAAAGATGCTCTATAAGACCGGGGAAGATGGTCAAAAGCGTTGCTTTTACAGGCACAGTGCTGTGTAGCAGTTCAGTGTCCCTTTCCTCGGTTATGGATGAACTGGACAGCTAAACACATAAATATTCAGCAAAGGAAGAGGAGCGTGCAGCTACAAATCCTGTAGGCCTGCCTAGCGGTACGGCATTCCTGGCTTGCATTTACCTTCAGCTCTTCTTCGTTTCATGAACAGCACGGATTTCACTGTAATTACCTCCAGCAGCCTTACCCGAACTAAAAGTAAATACCAGTACCTAACGCCAACTGAAGACTACTAAACGACTGCAATATTCAAGTGTCAAAAATATACGGGAACAATGCAGCCCTGAAAACGAAGGCTCGCACAATCCAGATTGTTATTTTTATTTTTCCCCTTAAGCAGTATGCACGTCTACAGCAATTTAATCACAAATCACACACAAAATGAGGTTCCATAATTGAAACTCTCACTTTGATTACACCAGCAGAATAACTAGAAAATTGCACGGATGCCAAGCTGTTCATCTTTTTTTTTTTTTTTTTTAAAACTGTTGACTAATTAAAGAAAAAGTAATCAGCAAGCAGTCCTATCTCCCTGCTCAAAGAAGAGCTGTCACTGTGATAAGTGGCTAGAGGGAGGAGTACGAGGTGTTCGGCAAGCAGATAGGAAGACACTTCGGTGACACCGGAGGCTGTCAGTGACAGAAAAAAAGGTCAGAGCAAACTTTTAGTATTCATTTCACACAGCCTACTCTGTTAGCTAGCAGGTTGTGTCAGATGAAATAGTGCATTCTGGAGAAAAAAATAAAATAATAAAAAAAATATATATATATACATATATATATATTTAGAGTAAATCAGTTTTGCAGGCTATGAGATGAAAACAGAGAAAATGTGAAGCAAATCAATGGGACTTACAAACCTGGGGCTATGTCGGATCAACAACAGAGGCAAAGACAAGGTGACCTGGCTCCAGGAGCGGCTGAGAAGCCCTGCTGGAAATCTTAAGTGAACATTTTGCTCCTCTGCCTGCACAGAAGCCTAGCTGGCTGTGCAAAGTGATGCCTTTATCGCTGCAGAGATCAGCGTGCTCTCTATTAAAGCTGAAGTGGGCTTGCTTGTTGACAGCAGATCTGCAACTTCATTTCACTAGACACGCTCTTGGCGCAGAGGACAGGCCACCAACCGATAAACGGGCATTTACAAGCAGTAACTAGCCAGAGCTATCAGAAATCTCTCTTCAGAACAGGGACAGAGTGACTCCGAAGGGTCATAATACCCATTTTCTACAAGCAGGAACACCACCAAGAGTGCTATGAAAAGCTCTAATTTCGCTGGTCCTTACCAGAACATCCCTCTCACTGCATACAGTATGCGGAAGAGTACAAAGCAAAGAAACAGCCCTTCTCCCAGAAAGGCCTGCAAGCAATTTTATACACAGACACATCATGATTTGACCTCAGATGAATTATGATCATTCAAGTTAATCAAGGGACAAAGGACATTAAAACAAGGTAATAATGAAGCTTGGCAACACATGTTGACACAGCAAATGAATGGAGTACCTAGCTTTTCCTATTCAGTAAGGTTATAGGTGTTACCTCCCAGAATATTTCATGCATTTTCCTGGTTTCATTTGAACATCAGAGCTGGCAGGACAGAGCTCTGGATTTGCAAGAGATGCTTTTCTACTAGAAACTGAGAATACTTGTCCTTTACCTTTATCTGCACAGTTTTATTCCAGTACATATGGACTTTTTAAGCGTAACAATGAATTTCCACAAATGTATTCGGAGTGGTGAATAAAATCTCCTATGATGCACACACACAGAGATCAGGCTAGTCGTTGTTATTTTATAGTAGAAAGACCCACTGATAAATGCCATGTTTGTTGGGTAGGTGAAGCCCGTTTCTGTTTGGGGAATCCTGGCCCACAAGGAATTTGTTTTGGATTATGCAGGAAGGCCGAATGGCTGTTATCAACACTGTGAAGAGGCAGTTCTGCAAATAATGATTTCAAGATAGAAGATCTTCTTCCAGAATACAGTCAGCAATTAAGGATTTTCTAATAGTCCTCCTTAGTTTGTTAAAGAACAACTCTAATACTGTTCTCGGGAGAAATACAGAGTGTGTCTGACAGCACAGCTGTGTAGGACATATCCAGGACATTCTGGAGAGCTGTTTAGTGCAGGTGTGTTAATTCACAGGTGTGGCCAATATACTGAATCTTGCAAGCTACTATTTTCTGTGATGATTATGGGTTTTAGAAAAAATGCATAGGAGATTTCTAAAGACAGTCTGATGTGGTTATTGGATCATTGGTGTTTTGTTTGTTTGGTGTTTTGTTGGGTTTTTTTTGTAAGCACAAAAGGAACGGTTCAAGTTTCGGAATGACAAAGACTTTTTTTTTGGTGCACCAACAATACCATTGCACAACTTAAAATATCTTGAAGACAGCTCACAAAAAGGCCGGCATGCTGTGGGTCATCTGACTGACCAGAATTATACAACAACACTTTGGAGGAACTGTCAGAGAAAATTGCTGTGGAACAGCAATTAAATGAGATGTAATTTTGAAGGTACAGCCTGTCTCTCTTAGGGATAAGACCAGCATCCAGGGTCTGAGGGGCACAACGAGATAGCTGCCAGTGCTGGAGAGAGCCCCCGAGGATCGGCAGGGTGCATCCCTTGTGCTCAGCACATTTACACGATGCAACCTAGGGAAGTCTATCATCTTGAAGAAAGCCTGCTCTTCCAGTCATGACATGTTTGGGATTCACAGAAATCACCCTCAGGAGCTCCTCACTGGACTGACCTGCCAGGAGCCCTTCGCCACAGAGCAAACGAAATAACAGCAAGCCTTTGCAGAGCAGGTTACGGGGGGGTGTCAGAAGAGCTTTCAGAGAAGATACTTAATGAGAGAGACACAACACAGTGGTTTGAGGAAGCCCAAGCAAGGGAGGAGCAAGCAGGACTGCTGCTTTGCACAGGGGAGAAGGAGGAAGAGGCAGCAAGGCCCGTGGCCCTGAAGGCCCAAGCACAGCTGTGCAAAAGCTGCGCCCGAGAGCAATGAGGGAGGCTGGACTCGGACGGACTCCACTATAAGGAAACGCCTGCACTTTCTTTCAAGAAGCACAGTATCTCTGTTTTACAATGGGTTGTTATCAACACGCCCAGTACCACAAGCTGGTCCCTGAAGACAGTCGCAAAGAGCCTGTCACAAACAGGCCTCCCCACAGCTTTCTGGCAGTCTGGAAAACCTTTGCCACCCCCACACAAAATGTAAAAGTGCACACACAAAATGTAAAAACCCACACACAAAGTGTAAAAGCAGTTACTTTGCTGGGGCTAGGAGGGAGGAAAAGCTTATTATCCTATCAAAACCCACTACAAAGGGATGGCCCATTTATTTACCCAGCCAGAATCCCCTGTATGTTTTCAGCACCTTCCCTGGCTGTTATTTCAGGATGCTGGGCCTGTCTGTAGTTCAGATAGAGCACAAGCACAGAGTTTACTCAGAGAAGTAGGAAAGCAGTAGAAGTTTCCGTGTATTTACCACTACACGTTAAAATAGCTTAAACAACTACTTATGGGCTCACGGTGTTTAATCAGAGATATTTAAAAAACAGACCTCCTTCCAATAGGAAAGTATTTAAATTTTTGTTTTGTTTTCTCATGATATTGATTTTCCTCAGCTATAAAAAACAGCCAAGCTTCTAACCACCAAATGTTGGAAAGTCACAAAATAACTCGAGGTTTTCAGGAGAAGTATTTTTTTTATTTTTAATTTACCTTTGACATGTTTAAAATTAAAGCACTTATCTCTTTCATATTCATCTTGTGTAGAAGATGGTCTTTATGTCAGACCAACCTAGCAATTATTCCTTCTATCTGCACAATTCCCTCAAACAGAGAGTGCAGCAAAAACATTTCCCATAGAAACAAAGTCCCAAGCTACTCATTGATGAGGGCGGTCAGCAGTTAGTGTTTCTGCAATGTCCTGGTGAAACAGCTTCACTAACAGTTCACCACCAACTTAAGATAAGAAACTGTCACCAACTGGCCAAAGAAATGGATTTTTTTTGTGTGTGTGATAAAGCTACAAGGCTGCTCAAATCTTTTCTTAAAGCTTAATAACAAACACCAACAAAAATCAGAAGAAAAGCTGGGGGGAGAGGGAATTCGGCCTCTTTGATTTCTACAAAAGGCACACGGCACATGAGAAAACAATCAGCACGTTACCCTTATTAAGTACCATACACACATTAATTACAATTTTAAAACCACAAGAATTGCCTTCAGAAAATTCAAGTTAAGGTGCGATTGTTGAGTTGCTTTTACACAAGCAGAACTGCTTTACAGAAATGAAATGTAGTACCAAAAAACAGCGGCCACTTCCGTGGACTTGGGAAGTAAACCTAAATTTTGGCCAGGAATGTCCCAGCTACTGGATGGCAGCACGAAACAGCAAGATTTACAAGCGTGGGGTTCAATCCAAGTTCCAAAGAGAAGGGCGTTCTGGTGCCTGTCAGCCTTGGCTCCCACCAGCTTCCTTCCTGTTACAGAATTAATTTGACTCGCCATCAAGGTTTCAGTGAGTGCAGGAAAACTGATTTGTTTCAAAGTCTTGTAGTTAATTTTTCAGTGGAGAGGCAAAAATATATCTTTAAAACAGTGCATGGATTGCCTGCTGGTGTTCAAAATCACGCTGCAAAACTTGGAAGAGCAAAAGTTTCAAAATTTAACCATGCGAGTGTTACTACAAGCTAAATACGTATTATTTGCCTGATTTCATTTCCTAAAATAACTAAAAATGTAAGTTTTCAAAGATACTCCTACTCAAGTACTAAACATTAAAAAAGTCATCTTGTAAGTATTAATAACTAGAAGTCTGGTCTTCCAGTAGTAATACTGGGAACTGATGCGCTCCACATTTCTATCTGCATTCTGTACAAGAAAAAATAAATAAAAAGTTGTTCACTACTCCAATCAAATGAACAAGTAAATTATTCAAATAGTTTCTGAACTACGTAACAAAGAAATGAAAAAACATCAGGTACGCTTAGGTAAAATACTTTGATCCTATTTTTTTAAAATCACCTTTCTTTAAGAATTGTTTTTTATAGCGATTTATTCCTAATTAAAAATTACAAAAGGAAAAATTACAGCAATTCAAGTATTCCTCGTTCAAGTATGAGAAAGTGCATCGCCTGGCATAACTTCAAAGTACAGAAAAACCAGATTACGAACAAGGCAGGGTTCCTCTGATTTCATGGCAACCCTAACTCATAGGGGAAAAGCTGTTAAAAAGATGCCCAAAATTCTAAAATAAAACTTATAAAATAACATTTCGTGCACATCTTTAGAGAAGACCTGAGTACAAACCAAACCTTCTTTCTTCGATTCAGTCCGTGTTATACAGGAAAAGGGCACACTTTGCTGCTGGATTAAAAATTTCAGAATTTCTTGTGCTTACCCTGCAGTTCAATAGAGCCATTGTTTACTCGGCGTGCGGTTTGGATGAAGCGCAACAGACAGATTCTCACAGGGAGAAACAAGGAGGTGGGAATAAATAAAAAGGATCGTTTTGAGAAGGCATTTTTGTGGCCTCGCAAACACAGCGGGATTTAGTAATTTCAGCAATGGCTATATCCTGCTCCCTGGGAACTGAGTGTAGCTGAAGACACCAGTTTACCTGACTGACTGCACAACGTTAGATGGAGAATTCTTGAAATGACTCTCCACATTTGTTAAATCTGGGAGGTATTACAGAATTTAAAAACTTGTAATTTCACTGCACAAAAATGCGGCCACTAATGGAGTAAATTCCCATCGTAGTATTTAGTCATCTTTTTAGCCCTGTTAATAAGAACTACTAAATTTAACAGACATGCCCTGTTTAAGCTGTAACCAGCTCTAAGAGTAACTGAAGACGAAAGATAGGATGTATCACACTGAGATAAGTGTGTGTGTGTATTTTTGGCAGTACGATATTTGGTAATTTTCACTTCTGTTTTCCCTTCTAATGGACCCTGAAGGGCCAGAACCTCCTTCTGGGAAGGAAGCATTGCAGGGGGTGCTGCATGCCAGTGCACAGCAACTCCTGACCAGAGCACACCACTTCTTCCTCAGCCCGCAGCCAGGGAAGAGGCCGTGTAAAACAAGATGAAAACACCTCCTCTGGTGCCAGCCAGGGCAGGTCACCTTCCCCTTTGCCTCTGCACCTCCTCAGCTGACATCACGTCCCCCCTGCACCCATCCAGGTGAACCTAGCCTTGCACAAGCTGCTCTTCCTCACAAATCATCCTCCTCTGCTCCCTAGCCCTGATATTAACGTGAGGGCTCCATCTTCTTTTGACTGTGAACATCAAGGAGCAATGACAGGGAGCAGAACATCACAACTACCTGGTACCATGGAAGAGGTACATGACTCCACGGGGCAATGCCATAAGCTGCAGCCACGGGCTGCGTAATCTGCAGAAGGTCTGGAAGAGCTCAATTTTCTTGCAAAACAAAACTGCACCTGTAAGCTTCTTAGGAAATCCCATGGCATTTGTTACACGGGCTTGAGGTGGAAATTAAATGTTTCACCCTAGATTCATTGTCTTGCACTGTGAAACCATTAACCTTTCTCTTTCCTTAGAGAACAGAGGTAAAGATGCTGAGTTTGTAAGGACTAGTGTTGTAGTACAGAGATATTACAGGAACAGGAGAAAATGTATTTTAACATATTTTAGATACAACACACATATGTGATTTCCCTACAACCACCTACAAGAGCATTTTTACACATACTTTTTATTCCTGCTCTCTGAAAGGTACCCAAGGTACCTTCCTTGTTTGCTTTTCTATCTTCCCACTCTATTACAACTTAACAACAGAAGTTTTGCTTAATTAATGTGTCAATAAGGAAGAAAAGTTTTACACAAACTCACTTTGTTCCCAGAATGAAGACAAATAAAAAAGTAGTTGTTGCTTTTGCATGCATCCCCCACCCCATTCTCATGGATTAGTATTATCAGGTTATTATTATTTTTTTTAATAATTCAGGCCATTTTGTTATCTCAAAAAATAAAACTGCATGTAGCTGATTTTCAGTAACTGTGACAGTTAATTTAATTAGATAAAAACACCAGGGTACTGCACAGGTGATGGACACTTAGCCCTATTTTAGAACACAATTGCACACAATTGTACCTAACTGTAAATTGAGTTCTCAGCTCTGAGCCCCTGAATCCTAAAACCCATCTTTAAAGCAACTGATCTCTTTGTTTTTGCAGGTTTTGCATGGAAACAAGTAAGAACCTCACTGAAAGTCAGCAGGCAATCTCTGATCAATTCTTCACCAGAATCTGAATAGGCTGGACATCAGTTACTGGCAAAGGATTTTAACTTTTAGTTAATAAGCCAGCAAAGAAAAGTAACTGTGAGGAAGGCTGAAGCCTTACTGCACACCACTTTTACTCTCTCCATCCACCCATTTTTCCTTGCTTTCACTCCACACACACAAGACAGCTGCGCTAGCCGCACGAAGCAGGCACTCATGGCACAGAAATACTACTAGTTTTTAAATAATCCTTTGGATCCAAGTTATTTTGGCTGCGCTAACACGTCAAGAGTCTCTGTAGCTACACACTGAATAAAAGCTTGCACAGGAGCATTTCACACACTGCACAGACACATCTTCGAAGAAGCCTCCCCGCCGCCCCTCGTTGCTGCTACCAAATAAAGGTAAGGGAGAGGAAGGCAGCTTGTCCACGGTGGGAAGGAGCCCCAATGCTGCCACACAGCACACATGCCCCACGAAATTAAGGTGTTTTGCAGCCCTACAGGGCTAACGCCACCATGCAGCTGTACACCACTAAGGTGTTTAATAAATAAATAATTAATTAAAACCCACAACCGCTGATGTTTCCTGATTACGGGGAGCTATCATGCCCCGATCCCTGCGAGCAGAGGACCTGTTCCTGCTCGGAGCAGAGGTGCACGAGTTCACCCTGCAGAAAGCCCGAAGCAGCACAGCGCTCTACAAACACCTCCACAAGCCTCAGACGAGAAATCACCCGCAAACATCACCCCAGCCACTGCCACACGGCTCCCCCTCGCCTCCCCCTGCAGCCCAGGGCCGGGGGCCGGTACCTGTCAGCCTCCAGCGCTCGGGCCGCGCCAGGGCCAGCAGCCTGCTGGCGGGCAGCCTCGGGGGGGCACCGGCAGCCGCCCCCCGCCGCGGCTCCGTACTGAGGGGCCGCGGGGCGCCGCCGGCCGCCCGCGGCGGGGCGAGGAGGAGGAGGCGGCGGCGGCCCGGCGGGCATGGAGGCGGCGGTGGCGGCGGCCCGGGGGGAGCCCCGCAGGCGCTGGCGGAGCGCGGCGGGGCGCTGAAGGCGGCGGCCCGAGCCCACGGGGGCGGCGCCGCCCGGCGCAGCAGCGGCAGCAGCCAGGGCAGGCGCGGCGCGTAGCCCGACATGGCGCTGCCGGCCCGGCCGCGCTCGGTGCGGTGCCGGTGCCGCTGCGGCGGGAGGAGGCGCCTCACGGCCGCCGCCGCCGCCTCCACCGCCCATGGGCCGGGGGCCGGGACCCCCGCGGCGGCCGCCCGGGTCGGGGCCGGGCTGCGGCGCGCTGATAAGGCTGCGGGGGGCCGCCCGCTGCCAGCGCCCTCTGCCGCCGCCCGCACGGAGAGAGGGAGGCAGGGAGGGAGGGACACGGCGAGATGGCGGCCGGGCAGGGCGGCTCTGCCCCGGGCGGGTCCTTCAGGATCGCCTCGGCGGCCGCTCTGCTCTGTCCTGCGGGTCCCACACGAGAAACGGCGGCTGCTGTGCCCGAGCCCGGCTGTGGCGTCCCTGGGGATTTATCATCCTGATGGGAACAATCCCGTGCTTGGACCTCTGCATGGGATACATTCAAATAAGCCTCCATTCTCTTTTATTTATGTATTTATGTATTTATTTATTTATTTTTAATACGTATTGCTGCACAGAGCACACACCGCTTCCCAACGAACTTCCCAAGACCCCACCACACGCCCCCCACACCTCCCCCCGAGGCCCGGCCGCCGGGGGCCCTGAGGCGCTTTTTGACGCCGCTCCCCCCCGGCGGCCGCCCCGGGACTTTTGTGGCGCTCGCGGCCCGCGGGCGGGGAGCGGGGCGGGGCGCGGCCTGGGCGGGAAGCGGCCGCCGGCTGCCTGCGGGCCCGCTGCCCTGAGGCGGGGAACCCTGAGCCGCGTTGAGGCAGTGTTTAAAGCGAAATAAAGCGTCCAGAGCCCGCAATACCAACTCGTCTGCAGAGCCAGCTGAAGGCACATGCAGCAGAGCTTTACATTACAACTTGTCCTAAGCTTGGGTTCTGAAAAAAAAAGAAAAAAAAAGTGTTAAAACAAACACATCATCCCCCAAACTCACAGATGGTTATCCAGTCAGCCTAGGCGGTCATGAGATATTCGCACTAGTGGAGTTGCCAGGAGGGAAGAGGGTGCCTAAAATTCTGGCTATTCTCTTCCAGTTTGTTTACCCCACACGCAGATTGCCCCACTACTGCCTTCAGCACAAACGGCAGCAGCAGCGGCGCAGCACGCAAGTCTCCAGCTAAGCTGCTCACCAGCACAAAAATGAGCAAAAGCTGTGCAAACAGCCTTGCTTCAACTCCTGCCACGGACTGAAGTGATGTATTAACCTAAAAAACCTCCAAACCTCGGGATGTCAGAGCTAATAGCTTGGGGTTGGCTGTTTTTTTTGTTTGTTTGTTTTTGAACTATGTGCAGCTCAGGAAGGATTTGTGCTAGTCTTAAAGGACAAAATATCAGTATATGAGCTCTGCTGTGCTTTTCTGGATGCTGGGCCATCCTCAACACGCAGTCAGCACTAACTTTTGTCTGGGGTTGTCTTGCAGCTCCCAGTCTACCACGGCAGTAAGCACACATCAGTTTCGGCACTTACCTTTACCCTCTCCGTGACCTGTGAAGCATCGCTAGCTATCACAAAGCCAGGTCCAGCGCTGGCCAAAGGCAGACATCACAGGCTGTGCTTATGGACATGGTGAATATGGAACAAACCACCCCTACTCACACTGTGGAGGGGGTGCGGTCAGAGGAGGAACAGCCTTCTTTCTCTGCTTCCAATAATCGATTCGTCTGTGTTTTATCATGAAGTTCTCACAGGAAAGTTGTTTAAAAATAATAAAAGAGGAAATGGAGATTCTCCATTGAAGATTTTTGCTTTCCAGGGCAGACAGGTACTATCGCTACTGCCCAGGGCCCCAAAGTATCAGGTGTAAGTAGTAAGAGTAATCTAGCAACCTTGTTTCCCTCATTGTCCACCTACCCCTCCTCTACTGAACACTTACAGGAACACCCTGAGATGTGTGTGTCTCATGCTTCAGTGGGAGCACTGCTGTGCCACTGAGCAGAAGCAGGGAGTGCCATGGCTCTGGGCAGCCTGCTTGCCTAAGCAAAAGTCTGATGTGGCACCTTCCAAATTAAGGGTGTGGGGAAGTGGGATATCCCCCAAATATCCAAAAGAATATCACAAAATCAAAGGCTTTTGTCAGACAGAAACATGTACATTACCACTTAACTGTGCTAAACTATTTTAAGCCACAGTTAAAAAACAAAACAAAACAAAAACAAAAAACATAAAAATAAAAAAAATCAGGGTTTCTTCCTTCCATCAGAGAAGCACTGCCCATGGGCCTGGGGCATGTCCAGAGATGAAGACCTGCTGGGGTCAGGAGGTATCATGCTGGGCTCTGCTCCACAACGCGGAGTTTCCCAGGGACAGACTGTCCCTAAAATTTGAGGCCTGAGGGGGAAAAGCGCACAGAGAGAAGAGAGTCGGGCTCTCCCTTCCATACGTGCCAAACCTTGACAGTGATTCCAAAAAGATCACAGTACTGTGAAAGAACGAGGAAGACTTGCCTGTCAACTAACTGAAAGACAGGGTGAATTCACCCTTTCAAAATTATTTCTATTTTTATTTATTAATCCTGCAGCAAATTGACAATGCAAACTCCTACAGCTCACTCTGCTGACCCCTATTGCTCTTTGAACTGGGGTAACCAATGTGCTTATACACTACCAAACACCATAAAGTCCTATTCTTAGCTGATGCTAAAAGTAGCGCTGTTATCAGGCCTGTCATCAACAGAGGATCGTGACTTCACAGAAGATTACAAACCTACACAAAGAGGAGACAACTCTATCCTAAACTGAACTGTGAAGATCTGAAGTAAAGAAAGCAGGGCTGCTGATAAAGAAAGCAAGTCTTCCTCCTTTTCTGAACCTCAGGCTAATGCAGCTGACCCCTTCTCGTGTTTGAAGATAGGATGCATGTTTTAGTTGCAGGGCAACACCTATGATAATTAAGTTATTGAAATAGCTTCTACAGCTACCTCATTCAAGAATTTCACAGTCCCGAGAGAACATTTCTGCAGGAAGATAGATGCAGTGGGCAACACGGTGTCTTAAACCGGGCACTTAATAGGGAATATGCCATATTCTCTGTGTAGCTGCCGCTGAATACTGCTGCATAACAGCACCCAGGAAACAGAAAGCCAGATTCAAGCTTAAGATTGTTAAAAAATTAAAAAATATCAGTCCTGAGACAATTTTGTACTTGAAATGCACTGAGCTTGGTGAGCATTGTTGAGTTATTTCAGTCAGTTCTGGCTCCTATCCAGTACTTAAAAAAAATAAAAATATAAATCATAGCTAACGTGCAGCATGATGGGATAGTCTTTGGCTAGGGACATCCAGGCAGTTAATTTAACTGTCACATTGGTGTCTTGTAATGGTACGGTTTTAGACCCTGGCTCAGTGCTGGCAACAAGACACCGCTCACAAGGAAGGCCATTTCAGGACTTAGCTGAGGAACATACCGAGCCTGGAGGACGAGCAGTCGGCAGCAGTTAGAAAACGAGGTTAGCAGAATTGCCCGGAGCCCTCTTTATTTTTCTTGGCAAACCCAAAGGTTCTGCTAATGGAAATATCACTTCTGTAACACGTTCTTAGACTTACAAGACATTTGTAGGAGACAGCTTTTTAACAAAAGAACCTGAATGGGGAGAAATATAAACTCCACTGCCAAGGGAGCAAAAACTCAGACTGAACAGTGAGGCGGGACGCTAATCAGAGAAGCAAATGTAAGAAGTGGGAAGGGCAGCTCTAAGATAGACCCGTGAATAGGCACAGCACTTTGTTTATTAGAGCAAATAGCCTTTCCTTTCACCAGCATTCAGTGACTCAGCATGGACTTCTACCTCACTTCATCTATATTTATTTTGTGCTGGACTACCTGACACCTGAAAGGGTGTCTCGCTGTTCAAGGCCTTTATCAGTTCAAGAGGTTAGGGAACAGAGTACCAGTCAAGGGATGCCAAAAAACAGGGAAATAGGCTCCCACCCACAAAAATCAAGGTGTAGAACTTGTTGCTGCAGAGAACTGCAGAAGCTAGAAGTATGTGGCCAATTAATAAATGGGCTGAGACAAAATTAATGGGAGACCAAATCCATCAGCAGCTATTGCTGATACAGAGCCTACAGCTCGAGAGGCCTATTAAAAACAAAAGTAATAACTGCAAGAAGGCCCAAGTATATAAACCACGGAGGGGTTGTGTCTATACAACCTCTCCCACCTTCCTTCTCTGAGCACCTGCTTCTAGCCACTGTCTGATACCATGCGGTGCCTCATGCAGCATCCAGGCTGCAAACGAAGCGAGCAGAGCTAAGCCCGCTTAAATGCTTTCATGTGTTTTATCATGTATTTAAAATGCAGTAAGGAAGAGGTCTGTGCAAATGCAGTTACTTGAAATACACAGCTAACAAATTACCGCCCAATTTTTGCCAGACTTAAAGGTACTTCTTCCTCCCACTCAAACTTCCCTCCTAATTCTGCCTTGAAATTCAGGCTGTCAATCATTTGCAGATTTTTTTTTTTTATTTTACTTTAAACAGTCTAGATTGTTTCCTGGCTTCCTGCCTTCAAAATGTTTAGATTCTGTGAGCACCAAAACAAAAGCTGTCCACACAGTGAGTAGAAACTGATAGGTTGGAAGCACCTCGTTAGTGGTGCCATTTTCCTAACACCTCAGAAAGTCACTTTTGCTTGTTTTTCCTATGTGTGTATGCAATGATTGGCTTCCTAACTCTCTTCACTCTCACATCACTTTTGTATGCAAAATGCCTTGGAATAACCCAACTAATAAAAAGCCCAATTCCATTAGAAAAGTAAAAATGTTAAAAGGAAGCTTTGTTCACTGCCCACCTTACCTTTTTTTTTTCCCTCATTTTGGTTGCTGTTGGATCTGCCTTTGGACCAAAAGCCCAACTGTCCTAAAGCTCAACACTGCTAAGGATGTGGCAACAAACAGCAAATGAGTTTCAGTGAACACTGATGAGCCACCGTCTTCCTAGGTATTCACCCAGCTATCAAACCAACCGCTTTGATACTTTGCTAAGATCCAAGAGTAATCATTTCATAGTGAAATATTTGGGCTAGAATCAACAGAATCTAGCAAGAAATGCTCTAAACAACCCCAGACATTACTGCAGGGTTGAAGATAAAACAAGCTTGGTCTGGTGAGCAGCCTCAGCTCAGTGAATCTGGATGAGATCTCTCCAGAAGACCTGTACAGCACAACACATCAGCAATACAACTGTTTCCTGTATTGT